TTACATGGATTTGACGCGGATATAACATAGATGCCTTTGTGGGGATATCAATTGGCCTTTAATTAACCGACCTCTATTATCTTTTGCCTAATACAGCTTCTTCAATATCAACAATTACGCTAGAGCTTCCAAGTTTATATTCGTTTTTAACAATTGCGATAAAAGCTCAAGTGTAACAATTGTGTACTTTGTAATTTTACGGTAAAAATATTTTCTACAAAATGCGAATTTGAAAAAAATAGGTGTTAAAAGATAATATATAATAATAAATATAAAGAGAAGAAATTTATCTACTTTATTTTAAAAATAAAGAAAAATAAGTGAAAAATACATACTTACTTCGCGACAAAAGTTTGTCCAGTCAACTACATCTCTCTATCGCACATACTTAAATGAGTTCGGAGAAACTTGTGTCGAGGTAGTCGTATCATGACAAAATATTCAATAGATTGGCAAATGCGTTGAAGTTTTAATTTAGTTTATTTAAACTATGTATTGCATAATCTACTTATTTTGAAATTACACACTATTATTTTTTCTTGCATCCACGGATATGCTTATAATTGTTGAATATGTATAGGCGTGTGCATGTGAATGTATTGGAATAATTGCACACTTGCGTTTTCCTCTATCATGTTTTTGATTTAGAAAAAATTTCTTTTGTTTATTTAAAAGAGAAAGGAAAGCGTAATATGCGCGCGATGATGTTATGACACGCGCGTCTGATTAATTACTAACAGTTTAAGTTTTGTTTTCGTTACACCGCGTGGGCCATCATGAATGTACTATTTTAGTTTAGTTTGTTTAGGTATATCCAGCGGCACTTTAAGCAGAGTGATTGTGAGCCTCTCTGGATGTATGTGCTACGTGTGTATTTAAAGTTATATTTTTAATAGACTAATTGTTGGACATTCATTTGTTCTTTTTTTTATAACCTTATCAATAATTGACATTGAGATAATGCAAAACAAACGGATCACTGATGTAACTTGCAACTCGTGATTGACATTGCGAACAAATAACATTATTGCATATCAATCCTTTTTTTCTACAAGAAATTGCAGTAACTGATGATCTACCGGTGTTAGTAAAATCCAATCGTAAAGCAACATGTTCAGTTGAATACGAATTACTTGCTAGAAATTTGCCTCTTAGCAATTGAACATGTAAAATGTACATAGCATTACCGAAATACTGTATAAATATCCGTGAAATGGAAATTAAGGTAAATATAAGTAAAATAAATAATAATATAAATAATAATTTAATATAATTGTTAATATTTAATATAACTTAATTAAATGTAATTATTTTAAATAAATAAAAATATATAATATAATATAATGTATAATTTTTTGTTAATAACTTTTAATAAACAATGAGCGACGGCTAAAACCTTTTGAGTGTTATTCAGAGTGGTGGCTTTGACAACATATGTGAAGATCACAGTCGTATCTTGTTGCCCCGTTAAACATAATATTTATCAATTTTTTATATGGTGTCAAAGCTACAGGTTGCATTTTGATCTGAAAATAGATATTAAAAAGTATATTATTTATAGTACCATTATCTATCAACATATGGGAGGATATTTTGTTTTTCGAAAAAACAATGAAATGTTAACTAGACGAATTTTCTAGGTTTTTAAATTTTGCGTTGCCGCGTCCTGTGGGCAGAAGCCATATGAATATCTGTCAGTGAATACCGGCCATGGTCGCATAATACATATGCAGGAAAAATTTGATCCATCATATGTTTAATACAGGCGACATCCTTTTTCTGCATGGGTCACGATTGGTTGATTTTCTAACATTTGCTCTGATTGGTTAAATTGTAATTCAACCTCAATTCTAATCCGTAGTCTAATACCCGGAAGAAACTACAGATTAGAATCGAGGTTAGATTACAATTTAACCAACCAGAGCAAAGTTCGCTAAACTCAAGTTTAGTGAATCTTGCTCTGATTGGCCAAATTTTAATTAATATACAATATGTGATAATGCAATTATGCTAGAGGTAAGGGGTGAGGTTGAAGTTCCACTTAACGCTCGTAACAATTGCGAGCATCGTTCTGTCTTTGATTAACCAAGAGAAATAAGGATAGAATGATACTCGCGATCGATACGAGCGTTAAATAGAATGCATCCTAGACAGGCCTCTACAGTAATTTGGGAAATGCGAAAGCTCCACATCTTTTTTGATCATACCTTTTGAAAGTCTTGCAATTTTATGGTTTCTGGGTCTATCATCATAGTGTGACCGCGCAAAACAGGATCACCAATTTGACACACATGTTCGTATGGTAACTTGCCAGAATCCATATTTAACCAACTCTTGATTGTTTCTTTCATTTTTAGAAAACTTTTAAACCGTGTATTGTTTTTCCTGACTGTAGTAGCACATAGTGTCACATTAAATTTATGATATACTCGAAACATTGCTCGTATAGCACTTAATTATTACACGTTCGATGTTTTTAGTAGGTAACTTAAAAATAAGGTTATCATACCTACATCTGCCTAATAAGAACTGTTTTCCGGCCTGATTTTAGCATGTAAAACCATGAATAAAACAGAAAGAGAGAGGAAGACTCAACATTTAGTCTGTTCTTTTTATCTGCACCAGTTCAGCAATATAGCTAAAAAGAACAGACCAATTATTCAATGTAATCCGTACCTGTATGAACTCTATTGAGCCGAAAGTTAGTGGTAAGAGAATAAAATAATAACAAAGAATTTATACAAGATATCGGTGTCAATTGTGATTTGCTGCAACGGTAATTGTAATATTTATATATATACATATAATTAGGAAGATAGATAATAAACAATGACAATTTTCTTTATTAAAAATATATATGCAGTAAGAGAATAATTTAAAAAACAATTTAGTTAGAAAGAATTTAATTATTAAGTATGCTTATCTCTTTTAACAAAAGCATGAAATTGAATAATTTTTAGGTTCAACCTTAAAATTCAGTGTTCTAAATATACCTGGATATTTAACGATTGGTGTTGAAAAAAATTAAAATCATGGCAAGATCAAAAAAATGTACAGAAAAAGATATATCTATGTTACTTGAAACTGATTCAGATAATGATATAGAAGAATCTACTGAATGTTATACACCAAGTAAACATATGAATGAAAATTCTTCAGATACTTCAGAGTCCAGCCAAATATTTGATAATAACAATCGTCTCTTACTACGAAAAAATGTATTACAAAAAGAACAAGTCTCCCTGAGGCTCAGATTGAGACGTTCTACTGAGCAAAGTAGTTACAAAATAGATAGTGATTCAGATAATGAGAAAACCAAGAGATCAACTAGAATTGCAAAACATCAACTGAAAAGATTACAAGATGAAAATCAAATGCCACGTAAAGGTGCAAGGATTATAAGATTACCTAAGAAATATTCAGATTATGAATGTTCTTCTCCTAATTCACAAACACTTGTTTTACGAAAGAAACAAATTGATTGTAAAAGGAAAGGATCATTTTCTACTGCTTTCATTGATGATAAGAAAAAAAATGAAAAATATGACATTAAATATAATGATCATAAAGATAATAATTCTGATTCAGATTGTATTTGTGTTTCATTTGTTCCAAATACAAGATCTACAAGATCAAAAACAATGTCAGAAAATAACAAACTATATCAAGTTACTTCTATAGGAAGCAATGATGATAATGCCTTACCTAGGATTAGAACCAGATCATCAAAACCTACATCTAAAAATGTGGAATCTAAAAGAGATAACATAAACAAAGTACTACTTGATGACAAAATCTCAATCAATTCCAAGACAATAGAACATACTTCATCCCCTAGAACTCTTAAAAAAAGACTCAAAACAGAATATGATTCACTAGATACTACTCCTAAAAAAAGACTAGCTAAAATAGAATATACTTCATTGAATAATACTCCTAAAAGACAAATAAAGAATGATAATATTCGTAGATGCTTAAGTACTAGTAAATATAATCCTGCAATACATGAAACTAAGGATAAAGAGAAAATTGACGAAATAGCAGTTATATGTGAAAATACCAAAGATATATCCATAAAAGTCAAACAAAGAGACAAGAATACAAAGAATGTTACTGAATCAATAATAGTACAAAATACTCCAAGTACTCCAAAATCTCGCACATCATTGAAACATAATGTTTTAACACCATCTATGAAAATGAGAACCAGAATTCCAAATAAACCAACTACACCATTACAAAAAGCTAGGTTGAGATTACATGTTAGTGCGGTTCCCAAATCATTGCCCTGCAGGGAAGAAGAGTTTAATGATATCTATGCATTTTTAGAAGGCAAACTAATAGATAATAGAGGAGGGTAAGTTTATATTTTTGCAAATGAATCCTATTGATTTATTTTGGTATATATTCTTTGTATAAATATTATTACAGATGTATTTATGTGAGCGGTGTCCCAGGAACAGGTAAAACCGCTACTGTGAATGAAGTTGTAAAATGCTTAAAACATTCAGTAAAAATGCATAAATTAGATCAATTTGATTTTGTTGAGATTAATGGTATGAAATTATCGGAGCCCAGACAGGCATATGTACAAATTTTGAAGCAGTTATCGGGGAAAGTTGTAACATGGGAACAAGCATATAATGCGCTAGAAAAGAGATTTAACAGCAGTGTTAAGAAGTCGATGACATTACTACTCGTAGATGAGGTATGTGTGTCTCTTTATTTCTTCCTTATTATTTTATTATAATTTTGTGTTATGTATTATTAACTATAATTATAAATTATTTTAATTTTGTGTGTAATCTTCATTCCTTTATTTATTTATATTTGTGTAGCTTGATTTATTATGTACAAAGCGACAAGATGTAATATATAATATTTTGGATTGGCCTACCAAAGCCTTCGCACAATTAGTAGTTATTACTATTGCAAATACTATGGATCTCCCAGAAAGAGTTTTAATGGGCAGAGTTACATCGCGATTAGGTCTCACTCGCGTTATTTTTCAACCATACAATCACGAACAGCTACAAGAAATTGTAATAACTCGGCTCAAAGATACAGATATTTTTAAAAGTGAAGCTATACAATTAATTGCACGGTAAGCGTTATATTTAATATTTTTATTATTTATATCTTTAAAGTGTTCTATATATTTTTTTATTTATATATTTTAATTTTAGTTAATTAAACATTATTTAGTTTTTAATATATTTTTGTTATATATATATTGTATATGTTTATATATTGATTTATTATGTATAATTTTAGTAAGGTGTCCGCGGTATCGGGAGACGCTCGCCGTGCTTTAGACATATGTCGTCGAGCAGCAGAAATTACCGAAATACGTGAGGGAACTACAGTATGTATGGAAGATGTAAATCAAGCTTTGTCGGAGATGATGGCAAATCCAAAGGTTCAAGCTATAAAACATTGTTCAAAAATGGAACAAGTATTTTTACAAGCTGTATGCGCGGAAGTCATACGAACCGGCGTCGAAGAAGTTTGTTTAAAAAACGTCTACAAACAATTTGAATCTCTATGTTGCTTTGACGGTTCGTATAAAAATGATTAGTACAAATATAATGTAAAAGTAAATTTTTTCATGTTATAATCTGCTTTATAGGTTTTCGAGCACCTAATATCACCGAAGCTCTTGATATTTGCGATAGATTGGGTAATAGCAGATTATTAATATGCGAAGATTCGTCAAATGATATTTATCAAAGAATGCTATTAAATGTATCAAAGGATGACATACATTACGCGTTACAATAAGATTGCAATTAATGGTATGTACAATGTCAAAACCCAACACTATAACTACCAAAGCAGCCAAATGACAGGTTTGTAATTTTTTCTTATAAAAGTTACTCCAATTTCTAATGGTGCATTCTTTGAAATTAACCATAACTTTTGTCGCAATGTGTAAACGAATAAATATTTTTTTTGCATTACGTATTTTTTAAAAAATCTGATTTAAACTACTCCGGTAGAAAAGTATACGTTAATCATCGGTAGTTTTAGTACTAAATGAATATTTTCCTCTAATTTGATTACATAAAATATAAATGTGTATATGTGTGAATTTAAATGTTGCAACGATAGCATAGTATAAATTTCTTGAACTTTGATTGTTTTATTTGTAATTTTATAATGATGAGTGTAATAAAGTACAATTTGTTTAGTAACTTGTAACGTTATATAACTTTGTATCTTTCACTTATATATAAAATGTTTCACGAAAAAACGATAAATTTCTAAAATATGTTATAGAAATAATTCTAAATAAAAAAGTTCAGATATGTTATAGGTCAATTCGGCTCAGTTATCAAGACATAGATAGTTTTATTAAATTGTACAGGCGGAAAACACCAAATATTTATAACCTTTAATAGGAATATTATTCTTTTAAATATTATTTGTTCAAAAATGTTCACTTTCTGCTTTTAAAACCGCTGCTGCTCGTTGTATCTTAAATTGTTGCCATTTAATTTGCCTAAATTCAATACTATTATGCTATCAATGCTATTACTATTTGTTGTTTCTATTATTCTAGTCAACTAGCTGTTGATAAGTTTTTGGTTTATCGTCATTATATATACAAAATTTCAAACAACCCTACAAAAAGAAATCCAGAACGAGGCGGGGTTCAGCCAGCAAATATATGTATCAAACTGAGCTCTATGTAGCGATGAGCCAGTCTATAATTGGATAAATTACACAACTCATATTCATAGATAAACCCTTCCTCGTTCGTTCATAAATAGTCTGCTGAAGTAAATATGTTCAGTATCTTTTATTCATTCGAGTAATGTGCGTTGTTTTACCTCATAAATTGTGTCAAGTAAATTTGCATCAAGTGGTTATTTGTGATCTATCTAAAACTTTTGGAAATATGAATAACGACAATATCGACGAAAATATTATTTCGTTATATAATGCTCAAAAGTGGGAAGAAATCGCTGCTTTGTCTTCCACGACTGATGATTTTAGAACTTGCAAATTATCATGGGTATTGCCTGACATAAATGATTTATGCTGGATAAATGAAATTGTACAAAAATATAATTTATCGGGAATTGCAAGTATTGGATGTGGTTGTGGATTACTAGAATGGTTATTGCAAAAATATTCAGGTAAGATTTAAAAACAAATGAACGTTAATATATGTAGTAAATGAAAAGGAATATTGTTATATTTCTCATTGAGTCATATTTTTAAGGTTTAGATATCGTGGGAATAGAATTGGATAGTTCATGGTGGAATAGCAAGTATTCTCCACCACAATTTCTGAAAAATATTATTTTCGTTGAAAATAAGTCGACAAATTTTCTAGTGCCAAAGAAATACGCTATGTTATTTTGCTATTTTAACAACAGTACAGCGTTCCATGATTATATGAAAAATTACAAAGGAAATCTAATTCTAGTCATTGGACCTGAAGGAAATAATTACACGACTGATCCACTACCATTTGACATAAAATTTCAAAAATATAATTGGAAGTTAACAAAGGTGAAAAAACTTGTGTATTCCAATAATTATATTACTGCATATAGTAACATGTAACATTTAAAATCACGAGTTTGAAGTGATACATATTGTATAATTTTGTGTAATTATAAAATAATTTTTAAGCAATCCATGGGTCTGATCTCCCTTTTAATTGCATTTTTTACATTTTTCTCTGATAGTATTTTCGATTGAAACAATTTAAAGCAGGAAGCAAATATCGGTTGTATGAGGGAGAATTCACACTTTGATAAAAAAGTAAAAGAACAACCAATCATAATTCGCGCTGGTGGTCGATAGTTTCTGCTTTATCTGCTGTTTATTACCAACGCGAGTTCTGATTGGCTGCTGCTTTTCTGTCAAGGTGTGAATTCTCCCTAGGATGCATTTCGACTCCCCCCCTCCCCCCCACCTAGGTACACCTCACACCTAGAGTGCGTTCAGATTCTTTTCGAGTAATCCTGTTGAACTTTAGGTGAGACGTTCACATTCTCACTCTATCCACTGGAGAGGGTGTAAAAGCCACACGGGTCTATAAAGCGGGTCTACAATGAAAATTTAAGCTCTAAGCTTTAAAAAATTGACTAATCACAGTCGATTATTCTTCTCATATTCGACTGTGATTGGTCAATTTTAGCACCTATTGTAGATCGGAATTGAGCCGGGTGAAATGGATGGTGATGACGCAATGCGCTCCAAAATGTATTGATAATGCCGAATCAATAGTTCATATTACCCATAATAGATTTTAGTACTAATAGCGATTATCGGAATACTGCCTGGAGTCGACTCAAACCGAATGAGCAAATTTAATTTCTTGCAAAATTTAAAATGCCAGGAAATGTCAATTTAAAATGCTCGGAGATTGTTTTAGATGCCAAAAAGCATGAATTTAAATCCGCAGTACAACGACATAGTTATTATGATAGATGGATAATTAATTATTCGCAATAAAGTCAGTAAATATTTGTAATCTAACACACATATCACAAGAGAAAATTATTGGAGACTATAATTGGAGATGTTCGTATCCGATTTTGTCTATCACAAAAAAATTGTCAATAAAAATTCTTTGTTAATTCATAGGTTACCTAAGAGAAAAGGATAACCCGCTCCCTTATCGCGTGATAAATTATAGTAATTTCATCTTTAATCTGTAAACTCGTTCAAATACAATCATCCTTAGACCAATGCATAAGACACGGCGCGCAGGTTGAAAGGTTCAGTTCAGTCGATTAATCAAACGTCTATATTTAACCCCAACTCTTTCCGACACCGCACTCATCGGATTATATACGCCGTTACGTTACCGCATGCCGATAAATCCGCGTCCGTACAAACATATACCTATAAGCTTTTGAATATCCGTATCTTCCTCCGATAATTATACTCGTGAGTAATCCATGTCGCAAACGCTATTTGCAAATTCGTGCAAAAATCCTATATCGATACTACGGAAGAGCCATCCCCCAGAGTAACCGCCGGCATCCGGAGACGGTAACCATCGAATAAGGTAGCAGCCGAAGCAGCTCACGGTAAATGCAACGTTTATTATTTAATTATTTAAAGGAGTAGTGTCACTTGCCCCGTTAGTTCATAGAAATCCGCCATATCCATCGCGATATTTTCTAGATCGCGCGTATTCCTGGGGAAAAATATCGTGTTTCGCTTGACCCGAAAAAGCGATCATGTCCTAAAGTCCGAGTTCTACGTTCTTGTTCAGGCAGCCGTAGTCGGCCAGTGTAACAATAGCTTTAATGTAATAAATGCATTTTAATATTCCTGCTAATGAAACGTACTTCCGATTCCTCTAATGATGACGGTTTGGTTGATCCCTTATTTGAAGGTCCCTATCTACTGTTTACTACCCACGCGAGTTCTGGCTGTTTCTTTTCTGCTTTCTGCTTTTCTGTCAAGGTGCGGATTCTTCCTTAGAGCTGTTGCCGCTAAGTTATACCCGTTAAGGCTCCTGTTTTCACTTTGGATATATTCTCTTTAGATGTTCACGCAGTGTAAGCGCTCACGCTTATAAGCGCTATTTTCAGCTGTTCCTTTTAGTTGTAAGAGCTTACAAACGCTAACAAACCGTTTCTTTTGGTATTTATGAACGGTTGTAAGCGCGTTAATGGCGAATAAAAAATTAATTCCAATATTATTTGCTTAAGCATCACACGCTAGACATTCCGTGTTATTAGAAATTTATAAAGATACATAATATAAGCTATGATACAGTTTAAAAATATATGTTTTAATATAGTTAAAAATATATAATATAAGCTTTAATATAGTTTAATGTAGTTTAATGAGAAAGTTATATATAAACGTCATTTTTAAATTTCGTGTGCGACTTATCGCATTTGAAAATCCAATTGAGTTGAACAGGCAGGAACTTCAATGCCATGAATTACCATAAATACCATAGAATATGGCGATAGAATAATGGGATCCGTAGGTTTCAATATTCTAGGTCGAAATGGCGGTAGATTTCCGTTCGGTCGCAGCTTCAATACTTCGTCATTCATCTTTATCTCACTACGAAATAAAATGATATTTCACAAATGCATTTTATAATTATCTATTGTCATATTCGCAATAAACATTTAATACTATATATGTGGCTATTTTTCATTCGATAATATCTTATATCTTGTTAGATATATAAATTAATTATCGGCATTTTGTCAATAAATTTATTATTTATTTATAAAAAATTAAATCACGTTTTAATCTGCAAAATAATCTTCAGAATCTATATACTTTTGCCATTGATTTATGCAGTTGGTGAATTCCATGTCAGTAAAAAGATGGCGATTTGAGTCGATCAAGTCGCCAATACTTTTATGGACATCTTCGGACGTTTTGAAGTGCAAATCAACCAAATGGTATTGTAAGGACCGGAATAAATAGTAATCTGAAGGAACTAAATCTGAAGAATAAGACGCGTAAGAAGGAATTTCTCAACCCAACGAATATATGTCCTTAGTTGTTTTCACCGTATGTGACCTTGTGTTGTCATGCAACAAATCATGCATGAACGTCTGGATCCCTTTTTTACATGTGCTGTAGGACATAGCATCTTCCCTTAAGGCTCAACAAATCATTTCTTTAACCTCGCTAACATTTTTTTTTAGCTTGAACGCGAAAAGTATGCAATGCTTGACATGCTGCTTATCGGAGGTCATTGTGCTTACTATACTTATCTACAGCTTCTTGAGACTACGTCAGCTGCATAGTCAGATGTTATGGTTTTTTTAATTGGTACTTCAAAACCTTAACATGGCGACAAAAAAGTTCATTTTAAATAAATGCTACAATTGTTTAAATTGCTACAATTGGTAAAATTTAGGAGCCGAGAATTAATTTGTGTACCTAATACGAATCGAATTTTCGCTTTTGCCGCGCGGCAAAAAGCGACGCAGCAGCCAATAAACTTTTAATTCTCGTGGAAAAACAGCACGTTGATTGGCTACCGCCTCACTTGTTGCCGCGTCCTGTGAGCAGAAGCCATAACGGTATTAGTAACGGTTATTACACACCTCGATTGAAGATAATCGGCGGTCAAAGAGTAAAACAGTATTTTCACGATTTTGCTCTGCTGTACGGTCAATGTTGGAATAACTACGTGAGCCGCAACTTTGTCTATGTTCATTCCATAAATTGTGATGGCTGACATTCTATTAATCAGAACTTGTTGCGGTGTACAATGTGCATATAGACGAACGTAACCATAATTATTTGGTGTTATTAATTTCAAGACTTTCTCCGACACGAGTTGTTTGTAAACAACACTAACCCACCAATCTGGGTTCGGTGTAAGATCTGGCGATACCATAGCGTAATGCCCGCCGAATAACGTTTGTCTAATGACGACATTTAATCCAGCACTGGCACTATATCCCAATTTGTCCAGCCATAGAAATCCAGCTACGAATCTGTCGGATAGTTCAGGTGCTCCTCCACCAAACGCTGTGCTCGTTTCTGCTGCAAAACAGTTCTTTTTTTTCAAAATATTCGTATATTAATAATGAATAACTCTTCAATTATCATTACTTCAATAATTTTGCTATAATAAAATAGATTTCTTCCTATATTTATTATTGAAATTAATCATAAATAAATAAATAAATAAATATAAATATATTTAATACGTTCGCTACCATCGCCGCATATATGCGGCGTCCCGATTCTTGTATCTGAGCCCACCACCGCAGATGTGCGGTACGTGTTCTTTATCAGTTTATGATAATAATTGCAATAAATTTGGAAATGAACAGTATTGTTGAGCTAAAAAACAATAAAATAGATGTAGGATGTCCTTGGTCTACAGATAATGACATTTTTATGTTATAAATATATCTTAAAAAGATTCATGTCAATTGCGGACATATTCTAACAAAAAACATCCTGGGCTGTGGTGCAAGATTTTCTTCTCACCCTAGTAGCAAACATGTTAAATATATATATAAATTTATATATATATATATATATATAATATAAATATATATATAATATAAATATAAATAAATAAATAAATATATATATTTTTTTAATGATGATCTAAAACATTTCTTGAACAATGCATTTTAAAGAAAAATGTTAGCTAAAAGTAATACATTACTTAAAAATATACAATTTAACATCGTAACTAATAGAACCATAAATTAGAAAAAAAGGAAAGAAATAGTTTTTCCCTAACTATAAAGTAGATAATAAAAAATAAAATTGATTAAAGAACCTTCTAATTTTAATACAAAACATACACAACCACATAGAAACATTTTTTCTTGATGCAATGACGAAATCTTCCATGACTTTAATTTGCATCGGTAAATAATTGAACGTGTGAGGATTCACGAAATCTTGAACTTTAGCTTCCCGTCCATTCAAATAATATTGGTGCCATGTAACGTAATTTACGGTGTTTTTTTGACTTTTTAGAAACGTCTCGGCATATTTCTCTCCCATATGATTCGTATCACCGACATGATTTACTTCCGGTCCAACAAGGATGCTCTCGACATATCCTGCTTCATCCAACAATTGCCTCAAACAATCATAATCCTTTGCGAGTTCAGTTGCAGAAATCGTCACATTGAACACGTGATGGAAGGAATTCGGTTCTAATATTAACAATTTATATTATATAAAAAAATATATAGTAATACAATTAAAAATGTTTATTTATACGTTTTAATTCTCCAGTTTATCACAGTTACCATTTCCCAATTGCCAATCCAATTCCATATCATGATTTTTGGCGAATGTGATAATCTCCTGTGCGTTAGTGTCATTCCACGATCCATTCAAATTTCTAAGCAATACATTCAAATCGAAAACCATTCGCAACTTGGACTTTATTACAAATTCATAGATAGTAATCAAATCCAAGCCAGAAATAGTAAAGTTACTAATATCCTCACCATCCACAGGGCTAGGAATCTTCTTGGAATAGCTTTGCTTCGCCTAATTATTGAATACATCATATATGTTAGTATATTCAAATTTTTAATTCACGTGGCACTATTGCATCAAGATTTTGGCATTACAAAGTAATTATGCAAAATAGGGATGATTTTGTCTATTTCAACGGGCTTAAAATATTTTATTAAAGTCATGGTTCTGATTAATTTTTAAGAGATTCTAGCCGTTGTTCTTTGCTTATTAAAAAATTATGTACAAAAACTTATTAATAAGTTATTAAAGCTATTCAAAATCATTAAAAAATTATTAATAAAAGAAAACTAACGAATTATTTAATTATTTTAATTGATTTCCTCTCTGTTTTGCTTCGTCTCTCTGGATCGCTGATTCTTCCCGATCGGAAGTTTTGAGGGCAAAGTCCCCAGGTCGGAGGGTTGAGCCTCGAAGTCTCTTATTCTATATCGCGATTATTTTTAAACAAATTATAAGAGCGGAAGAATCTTCGCGGTAACAACTAACACACTAATAAGGAAACGAGACTCGTGAAGATGAAATAATTTCAAAGTTTAGATACCAAACCTTGCGTAGTGGCTTGTGTTAATATTTTCAGAATATTATTTTAATATAAAATAAAATCTAATTTAGTAGACTACACATTTAAGTGTTAATAACCAGAACAATTCAAACTTTTTGTTAATAACCTGTTAATAATAAGTAATGACTAAAACCTTTTGAAGGTTATTTAGAGCCTTTACAACATGTGTCGAACTCGTTGAACGAGGTTGATCGACAAGGTCACCCTTATTTTGCATAATTAGTTTCAGTTTTCAAACAAAGCCACTCATCTCAAGAAGTTTTGTTAGATCTGTCACAGATGTAGTTTTGAAGCAAATTGATCAGCAGAGGAATACATGTGTGAGTCGGTGATCATAATTGCTGGGAGGAGAAAGAAAGTGGAGGAAACTACGCATATACATTTGGGATATGTAGGGTTGTATGATATGTTGTAGTACCAAAATTAAAAATGAATTAAGCATTCATAGACTCACCTGATTAAATATCAGGCAATCAGCAGAAGTTCCACCTATTCTAACATAAGCAGGACTCAAATGTTGGCTTAGATTAATAAATTTTTTATTTCTGAGAGGCAACTCATTTATCTTCCTAAGTAAAGATGTGTCGAGGCCAAAAGACAGGAACTTGTCGGATGTAATATATGAAAGAGATTGTAGTCTATCAAAGTGTAACACATGGGTGTGCATTGTTTTAGTGCAAATGTTCAAGTTCCTTGATGAAAGTATCAACAATATAGAACAAAGAATTAGTAGAATACAATAAATAATAGAACGCACTGTTAAACCTGTGACAGAAAAAGTGAAATTATATTAGTATTATAACTTAATTTATAGCTGCATAAAAAATAAATATTAGAATTTCTTATCAATAAGAATGGTAAATATTACGTTTACGGAGCAACGAGACATAGCTGTGACCTTTACATATGTTATCAGCCATCACTGTAAACAACATTCAAAAAGTTTTAGCCGTCGCTCATTATTTATTAAAAAAGTTATTAACATATAAGTTATATTACTTTATATTATATTATTATATATTTTTATTTATTTAAAAAATTATATTTAATTAAATTATAATAAATATTAACAATTATATTAAATTATAATTTATATTAATATTTACTTTACTTATATTTACCTAAATTTCCATTTCACGAATATCTATATAGTATTTCGGTAATGCCATGTTTAAATGTACATTTTACGTGTATACGTTCATCGCTAAGAGGCAGATTTCCAATAAGTAATTCGTATTCAACTGAAGATGTTGCTTCACAACTGGATTTTGCTAATATCGGTAAATAATCAGTTATTGCAATTTCTTGTAGAAAAAAAGTGATACGCAATAATATTATTTGTCTGCATGAGTCATGAGTTACGAGTTGTCAATTATGAGTTACAAGTTACATCAGTGATCCATTTGTTTTGCATTGTCTCAATGTTAATTATAGGCATATCTGTGGCAAAAGAAAACATAGTATGTAAAGAGAAAATAGTATGTAATTTCAAAGTAAATCAATTATGCAATACATGGTTTAAACGACCTAAATTAAGACTTCAATGTATTTGTCGATTTATTGGATATTTTGTCATGATACGACCACCTCAACACGAGTTTCTTCGAACTCATTTAAATATGTGCGACAGAGATGTAGCTGACTAGACAAACTTTTGTCGTGAAGTATTTATCACTTACTTTTCTTTATTTTTAAAATAAAGTAGGAAAAGTCCTCCTTTTTACACCTATTATTATATATTATTTCTTAACACCTAATTATTTTTCAAATTCGCATTTTCTAGAAAATATATTTACCGTAAAATTACAAAGTACACATTGTTACATTTTACCTTTTATTGCAATGGATCATTAAGAACGAACGTAAACTTGGAGGTCCTAACGTAATTGTTGAAATTGACGAAGCTCTATTAGGCAAAAGAAAATATGAGAGACAGAAGACAGTTAATTAAAGGCCAATGGGTATTCGGAAGCTTTGAAAGAAATACGAATAAATATTTCATGTCTGTAAAAGACCGTCGAACAAAAACATTAATAGATATAGTCCATCAAAAAATGAAACCTGAAACTATTATTTAAAGCGATTCTTGGCGTCCACATGATGGATTAAAATATGAAAATTATATTCATCAAAAAGTCAATTACAAAACTAATTTTGTTGATCCTGAAACAGGAGTATACATCCAAAACATAGAACATTTTTAGCATGAAATGCAGGCAAATGTATTACGTTACGGACAACGAGAAGTTCATTATATTTATTATTTAGCTGATTTATTTTTAAACGAACTTACAAATTGTAAGATTGCATCCATGCATTTTTCGATATTATGGCTTCAATATATCTTTTTGACGAGAATATTATTGATATAACAGGCATCTTTAATTAATAAACATTATTATATTTTATATTATTTAATGTATTATTTATTATATCTTTATTTTTATTATTTATTATAT